CCGCCGAGCAGGGAGCCCGATGTGGGACTCGATCCCGGGAGCCCGGGATCATGACCTGAGCCGAAGGCAGACGCTTAAAGACTGAGCCACCCAGGCGCCCCAAGGAATGTTGCTTTTAAAATGTGATGAAGTCTTTCTCCTTGCTGGAGAAAGATGACTAAGTACGGGATAGTAAAACAGACATTTCACTGGATTGGGTAGGCCAAAAATTGTTTACAACTTTTTCTTACAGAATGGGCAAAAAGGCAAAAGAGAAGGGAGGACACAATTATTCTTCATTCTGTATTTACACAGTATCACATGAGGATGTTTGGCCTTCTTGCCTAAACATCCAGGAATAATACAACTAACAAGTATTTCTTTTGAGTGTATGCAAAGTAACTGATACATAAGAATTAAAAGACGACTGAGTTACTGTTTGCTTTTTAAAAAAGATACCTCAAAGCAAGTTTTCCCGTTGTTTTGTCTCCTTCCTCTCTGCTAGGGCCCTATTTCACCAAATTCCTCTTTTTTTATGCACCAGTCTGATCTCTCCGTTAATTCCTTCCCCACTGCCTACAAGTGTCTCCAAGCTTCCTCATCCTGAACAGTCATGTTCAAATCTCCTCTCTGATACTCGCCCTTCCTTCTTCTGTTTACCACCAAATGTCATACAAGAGTAGCCTACCCCAGCTGTCCTGACTTCCACATATTCCATCCATTATTCAAATTGAAGTGCAGCTTCCAATGTCAGTGTTGTACTGAAACTGCTCTCCCAGAGGTCACCACTGGCCTCCTAAGGGCCACATACGATGACCTATTCTCAGCCATCTTTGGCTTGTTCTTGCTGCAGCATTAAGAGCTATTTGTGATTCACTTATTCTTTTAAAAAACCTCCCCTCCCTTAACCTCTAATGTACAGTTGTCTCCTGTTTTTTTTTTCCTGATCATTACTTTTCAGCCTTTTTTTTTTTTTTTTGGGCCCACTCCACTTTGGCTGCCTTCTCCCAAAGCCTTGCATGGCATAGGGGCCTCAAGGTAAAAGCAAGATCCATACTAGAGGATCTATGGGAACTCAAGTACAAATTACAGTCCCCAACAAAGAGGTCCGAAAATCCAAGAAGAAGGCAGCAGACAGGACTCAGTCTCTCCTCCTTAGCAGGGAAGAATTTTGGGGGGTCATTCACCTTTTGCCCTACTGCACCCTAAAGGCAGAACTTGGGCTCAGACATCAGTATTTCCCAAGACTCTGTCCTTTGTCATCTTCTCTGGCCTCTATGTTTTCTCTTTAAGGGTTTAGCTACTCCTGGGTTTTGCCTATAACCTTGACAACCCCAAATTATATCTCCAGCAAAAAGTTCTTGCCTAAATTCCAGACCCTAATTTTCTTTTTATATTTTCTCTGTGTCCCATCTTGTCCACACACCACCCCGCCCTCAAAGGCCTCTAAGGCAGGAATTTTCCATTTTCATATCTAAATTCCCTTCAACACATACTGTGGCATTCCCACATCTTTATAAATTCACCACCAACAAAAATAAAACGTGGGAAATGCAGAATATCCTTCTGTATTGCCACTTTACAAAATTCTCACTGCAATCGTTCAAATGCATGCTCTTCACAATCTGTGGATATCCTAAATGTATACTAAATATTACAAATTATGTTTCTAAAAATAGGATACATTCTTCTCAGGGTGGTGACCTCAGCTCAAATAATGCAAAGAACATCTAAAATCCCTCCTTTATCAGAAACCTCATTTCAAATGGAGCTGAGAGGCTGGCGGGGGGAGCTCTCACGCTCTACCACTTGTCGCCAATTGCAAATCCAACAGGAAGAGATGGAGCTCAGCAGATACTTCGTTGCTATGCCTTCAGGAAGAAGAAAGGCTTTCCTTCTCCCCCAGCAAAATCCCAGCCAATGAGAGACTGTCACAACTCAGTCAGTGAGAAGCCACTATATTTTGAACTCCCCAGTTTACTGCAATGGGCTTTTCCTTTATAACAGTCTCCCCAATTCCCCCCTTTTCTTACTAAAAGAATGTTTCTCTCTTTTGTTCTGCAGACTTGCCTATGGTTTTGCTGTAGCTTGCTTGTTCCACACTGCAATTCTCTGCTATTCTTGAACAAATCCCTTTGGTTGGTTTTAAAAAAAAAAAAAATCCCCTCCTTATTTTTGTTTAAAACAGGTAATCCATGTTCTGTTTAGTTTCCTTAACACTAAAGGGAACTTTACAGAGACTTTTGTTAAAAATAATGTTAAAATTCTGCACCAAGAGCAGTTTTAACCAAGAGGCTTCGTAAAGCTTTATCCAAGAGGTAAGGTTGAAAGTATGAATGCACCATTTTGGAGAGAATTCTATCATGGGCCAATCTCCACAGGCATTTATACAGTTAAATAAAAACACTATAGAAACAAACGAATCAAAAAGGACAGGGTTTAACATTTTTTACACCCATCAGATGTCTCTACCTATGGAAAATGGTAAATTTATTTTAGATCATAAAAACTGACCAGATAATCCACATTTTTAAAAACAGTTTAGTTCTGTAAAAGAAAAATATTATTCTGAGGAACGGGCTTATCAATAAATGAAAGTTGAAAAGAAAGTTGAAAAACTAACTGCTTGTCTGAAATGGTTTACTACTCCTGAGGAGAAGAGAGAAGCTACTTTTGTTGGATTCTTTGTAAGATTCATCAAATACAATCACTTGCTGGAAACCTAAACCATCATTTAAAATATCACAGGGGAAAATACAGAGCAGGAAAAAACAAACTTACATCTCTTGATAACCGCTCTAATGGATGACAAGGGTCCTTGGCTAGAAAAAGAAAGAAAGAAAACATTATTGTATTCCTTAATCCTTTTGAAGAAGAATCTTTCATAATGCCAGGTCATTTCTGGGACTCAATATGGCGCCAAGCAGCAACTCTGACATATTAGTTACTGCTTATCTCCTTACAAAACATAAATTTAAAGAAAGTTTTTAAATTGCCTTTGATATAAAATGTTTTATGGGAAATGAGAAGGCTGGTGAAGTATATGTGCAGTGCAAATAAAAATCTGCCTTAAAATTGATTTCATGGCTACCTACACACTGCATCTTCCAGTGATGTTTTAGACGGCACTTGAAATCAGGCAGCAATTACATGGTAATCAAAAGAATTCTGACCCCCTATATCTCTTTTGTGTTTGACATGGGATTTCCTGTCTTCTCACATCAGATCAAAATAGATCATTTTTATAGTTAATTTGATCTAACAGCATTTCTTCCTAAGATTAGAACTTAAAACATCACCACCTGAAAATGAAAGTCTTCTGGTTCCTTTGAGTTTTGTTCAATGGCTGGTTGGTCCTGGGTGTCTCTGACTGTGTGACCCTGGGCAAGTCGCAGAAATGCTTCTGAGCCTCTGTTCACTCACTGGTCAAACCATTAGCTGCAAAGGTTTGTAACCACCAGTTTGTAAGGCTGTTTGTTTTTTTAGTCTTTATTCAAACTAGTTAGACTAATTGTTTTTGGAACCATTTAGAAAAAATATACAAACCTAAAACTTTAATGATATGATTTTTTTAGGAAAAAAAAGCCTTCTTGTTTTTAAATTTTTTCACTTTTTTTCCTGAATGCTCTTAAAATTTATACTTATTTTTGATCTTATTAAATTTATGCTTGTGGTAATCTATATAAATCATCTTGCTGTTTCTTAGGTAGAGAAGATAAAACTTTGGGAAGATGCAGTAACAGATCAGGTCATTTTATGGGAGGGACACTTTAAGAATATACTATTCTGCCAGACCAAACAAAAACAACATTACAGGAGGTCTCCAAGGTCATAAAACTAGGACTGTAATATAAAAACATGTGTTTTCAGCAATACTGATTTTATGGTATCTTAAAAAAAATTCAGGTATAATTAACAGTTATGGTATCAGGTGTACAACATAATGATATCACAATTCTATACATTACTCAGTGCTCATCACAGTAAGTGTACTCTGCATCCCCTTCACCTACTTGATTCATCCTTTCACCCACTTCCCTTCTGGCAGCTACCACTTTGTTCTCTGTATTTTAAGAATCTCATTTTTTTGTTTATCTCTTATTCGTTTGTTTCTTAAGTTCTACATGAGTGAAATCATACAGTATTTGTCTTTCTCTGACTGACTTATTCCACTTAGCATAATACCCTCTAGATCCATCCATGTTGGTTGGATAAGCAATGCTCATTTTTATTTATTTATTTTTTAGTAATCTCTACACTCAACGTGGGGCTCAAACTCACAACTCTGAGATCAAGAGTTGCATGCTCTTCTGACTGAGCCAGCCAGGTGCCCCAGCAATGTTGTTATTTTTTTTTTAAAGATTTTACTTATTTATTTGACGGGGGGAGGGTGGGGAACAAAAGCAGGGGGAGTGGGAGAGGGAGAAGCAGGCTTCCTGCAGAGCAGGGAGCCCGATGCAGGGCTCAACTCCGGAATCCTGGGACCATGACCCGAGCCGAAGGCAGACGCTTTAACGACTGAGCCACCCAGGTGCCCCGTTATTATTATTTTTTTTTAATTTTATTTATTTTAGAGAGGCGGGAAAGATAGCACGTGTGGAGGGAGAAAGAGAATATCAAGCAGACTCCACGCTAAGCGCGGAGCCTGATGTAGGGCTTGATCACAGGACTCTGAGATCATGACCTGAGCCAAAACCAAGAGTCGAATGCTTAACCGACTATACCACCCGGGTGCCCCCCAGCAATGCTCATTTTTAAAAACAGTTCTTGGGTGCCTGGGTGGCTCAGTCAGTTAAGCGTCTGCCTTCGGCTCAGGTCATGATCTCAGGGTCCTGGGATTGAGCCCCACATCTGGCTACCCGCTCAGTGAGGAGTTTGCTTCTCCCTCTCCCTCTGCTCCTCCCCTCTGCTCGTACTCTCTCTCTCTCCTCTCAAACAAATAAATAAAACCTAAAAAAATAAAATAAAAATAAAAAAACAAAAACAGTTCTTGAAGGCTTCCTATAATCAACTACTTGAAAAAATTAGCGTAAGGTCATGTAGAAGAGTAACAGAACTAAAATGCAAAAGGTTGACTAAAGATTGTAGGAGAAACTTCTGGGTGCAAAAGTGCAGAGACTCTGCATGTTAATATTGTGTCTGTTGATTCAAGTCAAGCAATTAATAGAATCAAAATCAGTACTTACAGGCAGGGCCAAAAAAGCCACAATTTCATGCCTATGTCCAGGCAGAGCATACGGAATGTTACTGAATGTCTATTATATCCTTGCTCATTACCATTGATCTGGTGGGATGTTATTATTTAAATAATAATATAAGTATTACCATAAATATTACCATATTACCTAAGCCGCTGTTACCTTTGTGAAGGAGGAAGGTGAACTGATTGGGGTAGAACATGGGGGTGTCTGGGTCGAAATGTCCCCGTCCCAAAAAAGATACATTGAAATCCTAATCCCAGTACCTCAGAATGTGACCTTTTTATGGAAACAGGGTCATTACAGATGTAATTAGTTAAGATGAAGTAATACTGGAGTAGGGTGGTGCCCTAATCCAATATGACTGGTGTCCTTAAAGAAAACCATGAGGAGAGAGACATAGAGGAAAGGGTCTAGATGACAATGAGGCAGAGACTGGAATTATGCAGCTGCAAGCTGAGGAATGCCAAAGATTGTCCACAAACCACCAGAAGCTAGCAAGAGGCAAGGAAGGATTCCCTTAGGATTTCAGAGGGAGCATGGCCCTGATAACACCTTGCTTTCAGACCTACAGCCTCCAGAGCTGTGAGACAATAAATTTCTGTTGTTTTAAGTCACCTAGTTTGTGGCACTTTGGTAGGGCAGTCCTGGGAAACACATATGTGGGGTCTTCTGAGCACTGAGTAGATGTGATAATTCATTGAGCCATTTACTTTGTACATACATGTTACACTTCAATAGAAAGCTGGGTTGGAGGATAGGAGGGTGGTAGAAACCTTGGCACAAAACAGAATTCTCATTGAGGTCAGCCCAGGTTCTACAATTCTCAAGATTTACATCATCATGTTTAGGCTAGCTCTATAAGCCAACCAGCCAACCAACCAAGCAACCAAACAGGCAACCAACCAGCCAACCAACCAATCAGTATCTTATGTCTAAAACAGCATTTTCCCAACTCTAAAGTTTAAAGTTCTCCTTTCTAGGTTAACAGGCTCTGTGGCAGGGAAAATAAAAAAGGAGGCAAATGATGACTCCTTTTTCTCCATCTGTAAGCAGAGCAAAGGCTATAGGTAAAGGTTCCACTCTGTATTTTTTTTTTTTTAAGATTTTATTTATATATTTGAGAGAGAGAAACAGAAACAGAGCATGAGCAGGGGGGAGGAGGCAGAGGGTAGAGGGAGAAGCAGACTCTCCGCTGAGCAGGGAGCCCAATGCGGGGCTCGATCCCGGACCCTGAGATCATGACCTGAGTCGAAGGCAGACGCTTAACCAACTGAGCCACCCAGGCATCCCTCCATCTCTAGTCTTAAGCCCTCATGGAAGTTCTCCCTTAGCATGAGCTCAGGTTCTTGTCTTGGCTGGGAACCTCCAGGAAGGATGGCCACTGTGGGACAGTAGACATGGCCACAGAACCACTGATCAGAGGAGGAAGCAGCAGAGCCTGGTGGTTCAGAGAGCTGGTACTAAAGTCCAAATGTTCATATGTACTCCTGGTGCCTCCACATGCTAGCTGGTGTGATTTCGTGCAAATTATTTAGCTTCTCTTCTCATTCTCTCGTGTATAAAATCGGGAATAACTTAACTCCTTCATGAGGTTGTTGTGAAAAGTAAGAGGGAAAATCCATTAAAGCACCTTACACTGGGCCTGGAAAAAAGTGCGTGTTCAATAACACACTACCGTTATTGCAGCTTTATCACTGTTGATGTTTGTAATCTTTAGGGACATCACAAAGCATGTGACAACACATACAACCCTTGACAGGTTCTCACATTGGGGTGTGATATCACACAGAAGGCCTAACCATTTATGTTTTTAAAAGATTTTTTTTTTTTTTGAGATTTACTTTGCTCTCCTCTGGTTTCTGCTGTTCCAATGGAGCCTGAGCCTAGGCCACTTGGCAAAACAAAGGACTGCCAAAGTGCATCTTCACTCCATTCTACACGTATAAACTTATGTCCTGGCCCTCGGCAGAGTTGATCTGGAGCTTCTTCCTTCTGCTCTTCAAGTACTGCTGCCCTTTGCTCTTAAGGGACAGATAAAAACCACTCCTGCCATGTGACAAAGACCCTTCTAGGAGGGAAATGAAGGGTTACGGGACACAGCTTTCAGATTCTGAGGAGAAGAACCGAAAGCTGAGGTCAAGACAGAATAGTGCCAGGTCTAATTCCTGATGACTTATCTTCCTCCACGACTCTGGGGGAGCTCCCTGGCTGTTCAGAGTCCCCTTCTATCCTTTCTTCCCACACTTTTACAGTAAGCCCTTTTTAGGCTGTGTTTTGGGTCACTGTCTACTACCGCATTTACACATAGCCTTAGTGTTAAGGTGTTTTTAAGAAAGAAAATTGCATCTTAAAAGAGTTTAACGTAACGAAACGAATTTCTAATAAGATTTCAGCAATGAAGATGATGATGAAAACTGCTTACTCTTACATATGCCAAACACAAGATCTTTTTTACAAATGAAGAAAATAAGGTGTAGAGGTTAGGTATTCTGTCTGCAGTCACGTAGCTGGTAAGTGGCAGAACCAGATGTGAATTTACTACCATCTCATTACAGTCCAGAAGATTCATGCTTGAGTGGATGGGTAAAAGTTTCTAGATGCTTTACAAAGTTCA